AGTAGTAGTAGTAGTAGTAGTAGTAGTAGTAGTAGTAGTAGTAGTAGTAGTAGTAGTAGTAGTAGTAGTAGTAGTAGTAGTAGTAGTAGTCGTAGTCGTAGTCGTAGTAGTAGAAGTAGTAGTAGTAGTGGTTGTTGTTGTTGTTGTCGTTTGTAGTTTGTAGGTAGTAGTTGGTAGTTTTTTAGTTGGTCGATGGCACTATTATTAGTACTAGTTGTTGTTGTTGTTTTTGGTTTTCATTTTTGGTTGTTCTTTTGGTATTGGTAGCGATAATGCTGGTACGTGCTGGTAACAGCTGCCACCACTATTCACGACTGAGGTGCCGCTTCCTTCACCCACCTGGTGTTGTCGCGCCTTACATGGCAACCGAAACCACAAGCTCCCACAGCAGAGTTTTGATCCACACATGTTTTGCAATGCATGGTAGTTCACATCCCAACATGTGTCAATGCATGTTTGTGGAACGCGGTCCCGTCACCAGGCTCGGGCCAGCAGTCCCCATATATCCATCAAAATTCTGGACCTCAAGGGTCTTCATTGAGTGAATACACCGTCAAGACCTCCCCAGCGTTTGTGAGCCTCTGGAGGTCAAAGATCCGCTTCTACAAGAGCAGGTCGGGGTGCCGCAAATTGGATCCTGGGACATCCTGGGACCGTTTCAGCTGATTTGTCGATCAGGTGGGTCAAAGCATTGCATTAAATATTGAACCATATATGACCGACTGTGACATTGCAAAGGCTTAGTCTCCCCGATAATTGACGCTAATATGATCGCCATGGTTCATGAGGGTGTGTCTAACTGAGGTTGATGTTGCTTCAAGTTTCAATGGATTCCTGTCCGCATCGCCGTTGGACATTGCAACCAGACAATGCTTAGAAGATTTAAGAAGCATCAGACATTGACATGGGACACCGTCCTCCATTCAAGCATCAGTTGGAAGTCACAGGTGCGGGCTAGGGAGAGAAGGTTCTTTGATTAAATGGACTCAAGGTATTTTAAGGTCTTATATCCTTTGGGTGTTCTACGTGAGTTCTGGTCAGAAACCGTGCGCTTGGAATCCACAGAGACTAGGAGTTCCTCGCTGTGGCTCGAGTCTTCAAGCATGCCACTTGACTGCAGAGGTCCGTGCAGCTAGTGCCAGGGCAGGGAGTGGAAATATATATATATAAAATTCATATGGTCTAACGTTTTCATATGTTTGTAATGAAGCCCGCTTTGGCTCCACCTCCCACGTTGGTCGTTAGGATCAGAACTCTCTCACCCCACAGTTGGAGTTTGACCAACATGAATGGACTCCTCAAACAAAAGCAATCCAAAGTGGCCTGTGTGTTTTTCTTTTTGACATCGCTTGATGTCCTTCAAATTCGACAGACATTTACTAGAACACCAACCAAAAGTGACAAGCAATCAAACAGGCCGACACATTCGACCTGTGAAAGACTTTGTTTTTGCACACCGCCATCCTCCTGGCATGCCACGTGCATGAATCCGCAAGTGTTTCTGCGCCGTGCACATAGTATCCACTGAAGCGGGATCGGCCAATGTTCATCATATTTGTACTAATGGAGCTGGGCATGCAAAGTTCCACAGTGGCACATGATGTTGTCCACCAACCACTGCATGATTTGTTTGTTCAAAACCTCCGCATTTGAACGCAACCTGTGTTGGACACAGCATCACAATTTGATACTGTCTGGATCGGCGTCAAAGGTTGCATATGCAAAGTACGGCTGGAAACCACCACCTGCGTGAAGAGAGATATATAGAGCAGCAACTCTCAGATTCTACCGCGTAGTCATGCTTGCAGCGCCACTAGTATAGTTGCATCTGCAACATGTAACATGTCTTTGTTTTGATGTTTCTAGCACCCTTGTGAGGGGACTCAACAACTCATGTGGGCCACAACGTGCAACCATTGACCCGAATGACTGGGCATCGATAGTTGGACACATTAATGAACATTGTCCGACCCCGCTTTGAATTTGGCTTATGAAACGGGTCGCTATGAAATGCATAACCAACAACTGCCAAAGTAAAAACCAACACGACAATGCCTGCACATGGTGCGGTTGAGAACCGTCCTATTATATACAAACATGTTCTGAGTAAGGTTGTCCACCTTAAGACAATGAACACATTGTTTTCGTTCGATTTTCAAGATAGGGGTGTTCCAGAGTAAAGTGGCAACTCTGAGAAATGCTTTTTTGTTGTGGCGCGGCCCCGATTCTCGTGACGATGGCATAATGACAGGCACTGCAGAGCGAAAAACAACATGCACATATATATATATATACTTGTTTGCGTTTAAATTGTGTAGCCAGCACCCTCGCAGCCCGTCAACACTTGACACGAAAAACTTACAGGTTTGCTGAGCATCGACTCGGCACAAGTGTTCAGTTGCTTTTGTTTTTGCAGCTTGGCATAGCTCAGGTTGTCACAATGGCAGCACCACTGTCCACGGCAGAGGCCCACAAAGACATGCCGTTTGGATTTGACATGCTTTTGGAGAGGGCTGTAGTGTAGTAGACGATGGAGACCCCCAACCAATTGTTGTTTTGGCTGTTTGTTGTGCTATCACGGGGAGTTGCCTCTTCTAATATAGATCCCCATGTTGCTTTCCTGTTCGGATTTTCTTCACAACAGCATGTCATTTGGATTCACACCATGTTCCCGTACTGCGTTTTGGGCCCAAACGTGTAAGACGGGCGGCCGCCTTTGATCACGGTGCGTTTATAATCCCGTTAAAAGATCCCTTTAAACAGTCCTCGTCAAGACCTTCCTTAAGATTGCTGTACTGGATGCAGATGACTGTCTTGGAAGAACGCGATCAGGACACTGGGACTTGGTGTTTAAGATCTTTGACACTGACCACTGACTGTTGTGTGCGCTGAAATCCTAGACCTCTTCGAAAGCATGAAAGTCAAACAAAAATAACCCGTGCTTCAGAGTTGCACAGGTTGATCTATTGACGATTGAGAAGGGGCAGGTTCAAGAGTATGTGCAACAGTTGAGGAAGGTGCCAACAGGTGTACCAAAGCGCCATGCCACGCGGCGAGAACCATTTGTTGATCCTTGGCATTGATGGCTTTTCCCAGGACCCAGACGCGCGCCTCTTTTTCGCCAGCGTCCATCTCCCAAAGAGGGTTGTTTTGGTGTTTTGAATTTGGGATTGTTCAACCTCCAAAAGGGAATCAGAGCAGAGCTGTTTGTGTTTCAGAATGGTCCAGCACACCTAGGGTCCTAGAGAGAAAAAGCGGATCACAATAATGAATTACACGACTTGAAATGTCAACCCATAAGAATGATTGCATGAAGGCATGACATGAGGCGCGGTGATTAAAGCCAAGAGTCAGGTTTTGAACCCTATAAGACTCTTGGAATTACACACTCTTATTTTAATACAGTGGCCAAATAAAGACAGTGTCCAAATAAAGACCGGGCCATGATTTTGAGTGCCTTTTACACCATCCACTTTCACCCGAGCGGAAACACCAAAGGTGACAGTACGATGAGTACTTTTGCCCTGTTGGCACACTCATTGCTGTGGGCAAATCGGAATACAGGAATAGTTCGTGTGTTTGACTGTGTTCACCAACTTGTGGGAAGCTTGCTCATCCAGCTCTCATTGCTCGACATTGGCTCCATCTTTTGTAGACGTGTGTGTGTGTTGCGCAGTTGCGTGCAGATTGACATGTGTAAAGACTATTAGACCATCTTAGACCCAATGCTGAAACTTTTCAGCTAGCACGCGCGCACACACACACACCTAACTTATAAGGCATGTTCTTGTTCATGTGCAATGGACGGGCTTATGATTCTACCTACCAGGTACGAATGTTTGTTTCCCACATGATCCCATCAACTACGAGGACCAGGACCAGGAGCAAAGGGCATCGCCTCCTCGGAGCAAGGACGTGAACCGAACGGGGCCGCTCCTGGCCTCGCTACGAACGTAGCGGGCAAAGCTGAAACCTCTTCCCGGTGCGGCCGGACCTGGGATCTCTTCGGATCGAGGCCGGACCTCGGTGGCCCTGCACGGTCCGAGGCCGCCACGTCCGCCACGGGTGCCCTCCATTTGCGATGCCTCCTGGCCCTCAGAGCACAGCGATGCAGAGGTGCCCTCCAGGGCCCTCCAGGGCCCAAGTTTTTCAGTCATTTCAGTACCACACTGTGTGTGGTCGTGTGTGTTTTTGTGTGTCCTTGACTTCTGGTGGTGTTCTTGTGGTTTGGGGGAGGTTCTATCCTTGTGGATCTTGTGTTTGAGGAGTGAATGTGGGCTGCCCCGATGGTAGGACCACCATCATGAGCTCCCCAACCTACAGTAACTCTTTGTGACCAAGCTATGAGGCTAGGTACAGAATTCCATGTATCCCAACATTTTTTGTTGTTGAATACTGTTAAACCCATGCCCATTTCAAGCGGCCCGGTATTCTGCCACACCTGGTCCACGATGTGACATCGGACTGATCATTTAAAGGATCATCGTGGTCAGTGATCAAAGGGTCCACCACAGAAGGAATACCTCATCAATGGGTGTGTAGAACAACCGGCATTCTGCCTAGTTTCTCTTGGTTGACACCACTGGTGCTCAGCCTTTCCCGGTCAGTTCTTTCATCATTTCGATGTTCCAGAGGGTGAGGAAGATTTTGCTGCTTCCTGATTTGGTTTTGGAGCCGAGATTGGTGAGTACACTCAGTTTGTATTTTTTGGCACGTCTGCATGTGGGCATCATTTTGCCTTGGAGGATTTGGAGTATGCTCACTCGGACTCCAGCACAGACGAGGGCGAGTATAGCAGGCCAGGGAACCTTGGGACTCCGTCGCCCTGTTGATTCAAAGGTTGTTGAATTGTGAAAGCCAGTCACTGCAAATACACTCCTGTGTGAATTATCAGCCCGAAGGTATCATCCTTTGCGCTTAAATATGTCCCCCTCCGCTTCAAAAAGCCTTGCGTTTTGGCCCTCTCGATAGCATTTGAGGGTATTGTCAGCAGTATTACCAGGGGTATTCTTTGCACGTCCCCCTTCCCATCCCATCCCACCCCCATCCCCATCCCACTCCATCCCCATCCTACCCCATCCCACCCATCCCCATCCCACCACCCCATCCCACCCCATCCCTCCCCATCCCTCCATCCCACTCCATCCCACCATCCATCCCCATCCATCCCCATCCCACTCCATCCGACCATCCATCATATCCATCATATCCATCCGTCCGTCCGTCCGTCCGTCCATCCATCCATCTTTGCATAGTCGTGTTATTTAAATTAGGCTGTTCACCGTGCTTCCTTTAGGAGGAGCCGACCGGCTCTCGTCTTCACATCGACAGATGTGAACCAGCCCGGGATCCGACCTGGAGCTGCAGTTGAGCCAGCCACAGGAGTGCATCACCCTGAATATGGGGACCTGTATACAACATGTGTCAACATTATTCGGAAACAATGAAAGATGCTCATGTTGACAGTTGCTCACAGACATGACAAACTGGGCACACGACTCTTTTGAATCCTTATCTTAAGTTACTTCATGGGGTAGTTCCCTAAAATCTGACAGACAGATTAGCACAGACATGGATCCGTTGGCAACATTGTAGTATTGTAGTTGAATATACATACAGGTCGTGACTGTCAATAGTTGCCAGCAGAAGTAATTACTTGAGTTCATAGCGTCACGTCCTTCCACCAGCAGAGCTTTTGTCGAAAATTGCAACTTGTAGAGCCACTACTCTGTACACTCCAACATGCACACAGTTCCTTTGTGTAGACGACGTTCTTCACACATAGCAACTCTTGACAAACTCATTCTCCATGCATCATCAGTCCATGGAGCTCACGTGAAGAAAAAAGACAGCATGTTCGAAGAAGTGAAAGAAAAAGACACAGACCCTTCCGTAGGTCACCTCACCTCTAGGGCCTTCATGTCCCATTTCCAAAAACTCCACTGCAAAGTTTACTGCAAAGCACCTTTTCACAGGACCAAGACTCCTCCCATTGAACCACGGAACCGACTCCGTTTGAACGAACAGGGGCGTGATCCGCCGCGGCGGACCACGCCTGGCACTGCCGCGTGATCCGCCCAGCTTCATGGCCGTCACCTGGACCAGGCACGGCCGGCACAGCGGCTTTTGGAAGATGGGTGGTACCTGTGGTACCTGTGTTGGGATGGATGAGACCAATGTAGAATCCTTGACCTAGTCACCTGGTATACAGTATACAGTTTGTGCACAACATTGAAGTACATTGTGTCGCCTGAGGGGTTCATGTTTTCTTGTTTCTTTTTCCATATTTTATTTCCATGGATTCCAGACTCAGAGACCTCAGAATGTGTTTGCTTCTTTGCAAGATGGTAACATTTTTGGCTGCCTCATGTCTCCATTTTTCCATGGCTCCCACTGGCTCCCACTCGCACCCCCAAACCCCAGTCCACGGGCGACCATTCGCCAGGGCACGAGACTTTGGGCTACAGGCCATGCATGTGGCCTTAGCCCCTTGGCCAAACCCCACCGAACTAGACCGAGCCGGGCTGGTGGACGGGATCCGGACCTGTCGAGACCGGGTGGTTTTGTGTCGAGTCGTGGCCTCGTGGCGGGAGGCGAGACCAGAAGAAGCCAGCAGGGGCTGAGGCTTAGAGATCCATTATTCGGCTTGCCGATGGCCCCCAGCAAGCCAAGAAAGAACGCTTTCTCGAGGAATTTCCCTTGGGGTGGTGGGTCTCAATGTTTCCGAAAGCTCTGTGGTCGCTGCTTTGAAAAACGTTCTTGACGCCAGGACCGGCGAGTTCAGCAACTTGGCCGATTTCATTTTCTGCCGCCGGGCTTTCGAGGGTGCGGCAAGCGCATTCAGGAAAGCAACCATGAAGCCCTGGCAGTGCAGTGCAGGTCATTTCAGCACCGGAGAATGCCCGGCAGGACCTAATAGTCACCTCCATGTGCCACCGTGCCACCTGAAGCTGCAAAAGAATATCCCCGGCTTTCGTTTTAGGGGTATTTTCAGGTCCCTGCTTCTGCAAGATGATCCAGTGGTTTTCGTTTGGCTGGGCGCATCAACCTTCAACTAAGAGGATGTATTGCCATGCTGAGAGACTTATGGATACCACTAGAGTCACTAGAGCAAGAAACCGCTGCACCTTTTTGCTGGGAAAGGCTAGGCGATGTATCAGTAGGTCAAACATTTGGAGTCTTCAGCTGAAAGTTTGAGCTAAGAAGGTGCGCCTTTGGCGTTCCAGCTTGGGACACCTGAAAGCTGAGGATATGCTGAATGTGAGAACTGATCTATGAACTCAGTACTGCCTCCAACCTAATAGCGATGGCCTCCAACCTTGTAATAGCAATGCCATTCAGTTGGTTTTGATTTGTGAGCGCCAGCCCAAACAGCCGCATGGGTCTCAACTCGAGTGATGTATGTCGCGGTTGCTTTTTGTCACAGCCATGACCAGGGCCATAAACAATTCCCGGATAAGCACGGCG